GGATGATCCTTGAATCCTTGAGGAAAAACTTCTTTTACCAACCTGTGGAATGATAGTTAGACCTTCTCGTAAATCGTGCAATCCTATCGCAGATATATCGACGTCGTCAATTACAATCTTGCCCGAAGCGGATTCAACTATTCGGAAAAGTGCGAGTGCGAATGAGCTTTTTCCTGAAGATGCAAAGCCATTATTGCAGGCTTCGAAATACATTCTAACCATAGTGTACCGGCTCCAGTTCGTCCGACAATCCCTATCTTTTCTCCCTCATGCACATCCGCAGAAATTCCCTTTAGAACGAGATCAAGACCTTCTCGGTACCTAAATCGTGGTGCACAAGAATAAATAAGTTATGGTGAAAAGTGATGAGTTTAGTATGTATTTGACTTATTCCTTGAAGCCCCATTAAGACCGACTTTATTAAACACTATCTACAACAAAAGCAAAAACAATGTGACCGACCCAAATGAAAAGAAACTTGAAGCTGTTTAATAGCCAAAACTCCAACCTAGTAGAGTAATTTAAAAATTTGACAGTGCCATGAGAGGGCCAGTCGGAAGGCGGTTTATTTTCAGGAATTTCCCATGCAGCCTAAATTGCAACAATTACTGTATTAAATTAGGAAAATGGCTGAAAAATGAAGGCCTAGCCTGAACACCATGTTGATGATATAAGTTCTAATGTAAGTACCTCAGTGGGCGAAATGGTGTATTCGTTTATCCGCTCTACAGCAACGATATTCGCTTCTATTTCGCTGATTTGACGAACCGCGAAATTTAATACTTCTGTGACCTGTGATTTGTAAAAAGGGGAAAGTTGAAGAAACAATTTTAGAAGTGATCAAATTTACATTAAGAGCGTATGTGATTGATACACCTATGATACCAGGACTAGTAACCCATCCAAGTTCTTTTGAAATTACTGCAAAAAGAGCAGCAAAAAAGATCTGGAAAGACACAATGAAGCGAATAAAAGGAGACCAAATAAAGCGGTAGCAATGCGACTGTAGATAGTCACGAACCACTAGGTTGCCTATAAACTCTAATCTGATAGCCAGCCAACGGTTTGAGGCTACGTTTGAGTGTTTGCACTTAATGAAAGCATCAACGATATTGGCCGACGCATTCCGGAAGTCTTCTACCTAAAACTCGAGATATGAACAAAATAGGGATTAGCGCCCTTAATGATCGGAAGTCGTAAGAAAAAAATTCAATAAACTAAAACCTTGCTGAAAGCTCGAATAGAAGCCGCTCCCTGAACAGTTTCAGAAAAGTGGGAATAAATTGGAGACCTATGAATACTTTCAAGCCGTTTGAGTTGGCGGGA